GTGGAGCTTAGAGTCCAGACCCCGTTGCGAGAGGACGGCCCCCACTCCCACATCAGAGGCGTCCACCTCAACGACGAAGGGCCGGGTCTGGTCCGGGTGGAGGAGGATGGGTTCCTTAATAAAGCGCCCGACCAGATCATGGAAAGCACGGACAGCCTCTGGAGTAAGGCGGAAAGGGCAAGGCTGGTTGGTGGTTTTGGTAGGGGAGGTCAGAGGTGCTGCGAGGGAATTGAAGTTGCGTATGGACCTCTGGTAAAAGTTCGAGAAGCCCAGGAAGCTTTGCAACTGCTTCAGGGTCGTGGGTAGAGGCCACTGAGCTACTGCCTGCACCTTCTGAGGATCCATCTTCAGGCCCCGGGAGGAGATGGTAAAACCCAGGAAGGAGGTGGACTCCTGGTGAAACGCACACTTCTCCAGTTTGCAGTACAGTTCATGGTCCAGGAGGTGGGACAGAACAGCCCGAACATGCCGGATGTGCTCCTCGACCGTGCGGGAGTAGATGAGGATATCATCCAGATATACAAAGACCCAACGGCCCAACATGTCTCTTAGCACATCTGTAATGAACCGCTGGAAGACGGCGGGGCTGTTGCAGAGGCCAAAAGGCATCACTAAGTATTCATAGTGGCCGGTGGGCGTGATAAACGCTGTCTTCCACTCCTCACCCTCCTTGATACGGATCAGGTTGTAAGCACTGCACAGGTCCAGTTTGGTAAATACAGCGGCTTGGGTGATGGCATCCAGGGCGGTGCCCATGAGAGGAAGAGGGTGGCGGTCCCTGATCATTATTTTATTTAACCCTCGATAGTCAATACAGGGCCGGAGATCTCCCTCCTTCTTCTTTACAAAGAGAAACCCTGCGGCACCGGGGGATGTTGAGGGACAGATGAATCCCTTCTGGAGGGCATCCGTTATGTAATTGTCCATAGCCCGGGCCTCCGCCGGAGAGAGGGAGTACAGGCGACCCCGAGGGGTGGTGGTGCTGGGCTGGAGCCTGATCTCCAGGTCATAGGGTCGATGAGGAGGTAACCTGGTAGTGGGTTCTTTAGCAAAGACCTGAGCGAGGTCGTGGTATTGAGGAGGAACAAGCGTCAGGTCTACGTCTTTGGGAGGAGCTGCTCCAGTCCGAGGTGCAGGGGAGCCCCGGTGGTTCTGGCAACCCGCGCCCCAGGCCAGGACATTACTGGTGGACCAGGAGATGTGAGGCTCATGGCGGCAGAACCAGGAATGACCCAGGATGAGTGGCGTAGCCGGAGCCTGGATGACCAGGAAGTGGAGGGTCTCCAGGTGTTGGTCAATGGTCATGTGGAGGCCCTGGGTTCGGTGGGTGAGAGGGTACGGCATGATTGGACGGCCGTGCACAGAGGTCACAGGAATGGGTCGGTCGAGCGCAGTGAGGGGTATCTTGAGCTGAGTAACCAGTCCTTGGTCGATAAAACACTCCGCGGCCCCAGTGTCTAAAAGAGCCTGCAGTCTGGTCGGGCCTTGGTCCAGGTGGAGGGAGACCGGGAGAGTGGTGCGGTGTGGAACCGGAAAAGGGGAGACTCCGGGCGGGACAGCCCCTACTCCGACCCGGAGGGACCGTTTCCCGGTCTTCTTGGACAAGTGCCACGGTGGTGACCCAAATCCCCACAGTAAGTGCATTGTCCCTCCTGATAGCGCCGTGCCCGTTCCTCAGGGGGCAGATGTCCAAGCTGCATCGGTTCCTCAGTCGGTTGGTGGGCCGGACGATGGGGTGACGTTCTGGTGTGGATGGGAGCTGACATGGTGCTCGGCCTGTTCAGGATGCAGCGGTCCAACTGAAGAGCAAGATTCACTGCCAGGTCCAGGGAGGTTGGGGCCTCATGTCCGATCATGCCCTCCCGGATTCTAGGGGACAACCCCTCCAGATAAACGGCCTTTAGGGCGGCGTCATCCCACGTCAACCAAGCGGCTGTCGTCCGGAAGTGAGAGGTGTACTAAGCCACCGTCTGGGAGCCCTGGCGAAGCTGAAGCAGCCGAGTCTCGTCCGAGTCCTCACTGCTGGGATGAACAAATGTCATTTTTTCATCTCCTTCACAAAAGTCTCATAGTCATTGCAGGCAGGAGATTTTTGGTTATAAAGAGCCGCCGCCCATTCACCAGCTCGTCCCGTCAGCAGTGAGGTCAGCAGGGCGACACCAGAACAGGAAGTGGGGTAGCGAGCTGGCTGGCACTCAAAAGTCATTGCTAGAACAGTCAGCATGCCCTCCGGGGACCCCCTGGTCCCATCCCACTTCTCTGAAAGGCTGAGGCGGGGCTCCATCGTCTCAGTGTGTGTAGCTGAGCCACTTCGACACGCAGATGAGCGAACTCCGCTGGGTCAACTTGTGACTTTGTCATCCTGTCAGGTTTTGTGGCAGAGCGGAAGCATAGCGGAGATGGTCTGTTGCCCAGACGCGGAGTGGTGGAGGTAGACAGCGTGGTTAGATCCTTTTGGTTACGTTTGAGGGCTGGTAAGCCTGAGAACTCGATTCAAAGTCTGGTAGGAACGATGATAGAGTAATGAATGAATGCCAGTCCTTCCGTATATAGTGTCGGCGTGATGACGTCAGCAAGCCACGTTGGTGGTGGGAATGTTGGGAAGTGGTGGCGAGAATGCTGGGAAATGTAGTCAGCGGGAGGAGTTCGTGACACCATTCAACTTATGAGTTTACATCAACCCTTCAAGAACACCAGCAAGAAGCGTAAAATAAAAGAAATTGGTTTATTTAAAAGTAATTAAGTCCCATAAAGAAGTAGATTAAAAATGATTAACATAATTAAAATATATAACATGTTAATCATGGCTGTAAAAAACTCACCTGTTTTACTCTTTCCTCTCTCCATTTTTTTCGTGCCTGCACTCTGTCTTCCTCAGACCTTGGTGATACAATGACAACATTCATTCACTGTGAAAACATTCATGTTATTCTGTTGACACTTGACTGAGCAAAACGTTTATTTAATTACACATATCAGATTAGCACTCTAACCATAATAATAAAGCCCATCAGGTGTAGAACTCAGATACGAACATAAAAAGCTTAACCCTTTGATACATGAATTATCAAATATTCAACCATAAAAATAAATAAAATTGTTCAACTAGTTTTCATTTATTTATCTATACAACTTTACCAATATATTTTGACAAAAATATATTGTCAAAGGTACAAAGGTAAGCTAGGTTTTTTCTTTCTCTGTTTTAACAATATCGAGGACTAATGTTGGGGCGAATGTTTTATAAACTTGGAAATAAAAGTTTTTTTCCACACTGTAAAAAGAAAAAGTTGATCCAACTTAAAAAATTGCTTCAGTTGGTAACAAACACTTAAATTAAGTTTATCCAACTTAAATTATTAGTACAATTTTAATAATTCAGGTTGGATAAACTTAATTAAATTGCTTGTTACCAATTGAAGCAATTCAGTTATGTTGATTAATCATTCTCTTTTTTCATTGCATTATGAGTTTTAGATAATACATATAGCCTATTTTACATATGCAGGGTGACTTACTTTTGAGGAGAAATGTTTACAGGGTTCCTGCGGAGTCTTAAAAGCATTGAATTTATGAATTTGAAAGTAATATCTTTATAAGACTGGAGAAACCCTTCAATTTTGGCATCTGGGTCTTAAAATTTGTGTTGGACGTAAGTTTTCTGTACTGCATTTTTCTTCTGAAGTTCATCAAAATATTCCAAACAAGTGATGACATGAAGAGAAGCATTAATATTAATAAAGGCTATTTTTAGACATTTATTTCAATTCTGTGTCTTTACTGTTTGCACTATTGCTTTTATACAATAGAAATACTGCAAGAAATAAATTAGGGTCATAAAATTAACAATTAAAAAAAACCTTCTTAAAATTTAACTTAAAAATATAGGCAACAAAATTTATTGTTAACGTTCTAATGTCAAACCAGATAGATCCGGTTATATTTTTAACCATTTGTTTAAAAATATAACCGATCTTCTACCAAGTGCCCACCCAGTGTTTTGTCAAAATATATTGGTAAAGATATATAGATAAATAAATGAAAACTAGTTCAATAATTTAATTTGATTTATTTTTTTTATTTTGCTGATAGTGCTGTGAAATAGGTATTAATTTTCTATATGGCTTTAGAAAGATCTTAAACAGACTTAAATTTAAGTTGAAGAAACCTGTAGGAACACTTTTATAGCTTTGGGGAGATATGTTGTGTGGTCATGATTACTTTTAGGAGGAAAATATATTTTACGGGGGAAATGTTAGTTTTTTAAGCTTTTTATGTTCACGTCTGGGTTCTTCACCTGATGGGCTTTATTATTATGGTTAGAGGGCTAATCTGATATGTGTAATTATATAAACCTTGACTTAAAGCTCCTTTATCAAGTTTAAGAACAATATTAATATCTGGCATAATCTACTGTTGAGGGAGAAATACTATACATTACATAGGGAAAATATGTTAGTTTTGTTTTTTAACCATTGTTACATGCTAAATATAGAATAAGGAAAGAATGGTGTAAAGGCAATTTTCCTAACTAGCAACTAATTAGTAAATTATGTGACTTAAGCAGACTTAAAAAGGTGCCATTCATAATAATTAGAGGAGTGTTTTTCAACCCTGGTCCTCAAGGCACACTGCCCTGCATGTTTTTGGAGTTTCTGTGATATAGCAGACCGTATTGAGATGATTGCAGTGAAGCAAAAGCTTGTTCATCAGCCATCAATTGAAATCAGCTCTGCTGAAGCAGGGAAAACCTGAAAAATGCAGGATAGTGTGCCTTGAGGACCAGGGATGAAAAACACTGGATTAGAGATTCTGAAAGCTTACATCTGAGTAATGTGTAGATTATTGATGTTGGTCTTGTTGCGATTGTACATGTAAGTATTCATGACATGAAATGTTGTTGGTAAAATGAAAAATGCATTTCATATGTAATACATTGTTTCTTGTGAATTTCTATTGATGGGGCTTTTATGTCTATTGTTTTCCCCTTTGATATATAGAGACACATCAGTGTTCTCGTTGATGGTGATACAAGTCTACTCATTACAAAATGCACTGATGGTGATTGTTTCCAGTGTCCATTTTGTCAACACAAGGGTGTCAAAACAATAGCTGAATACCACATCAAAGGCCATTCCTCAGTTAAACACAAAGGTGCCTATCTTACAAATTACACAAATTAATTAATGAATTTACTATTTTTTTTTACAAGTGTGAATCTTGTTTCCTTCATTCTGCTCTTACAGGATTTACAATGATCAAGTGTGGGTTGAATTGTCGGAAGGCAACACATTTTCACTGCGGCTATTGCACAGCAACAATTATAAACAGAATGCAGCTGCTTCAACATTTAGAAATTCACCAAGAGGAGAAGCCCCATCCAGAGACCCCAGGTGAACATCCAGAGCCCCCAGCCAGGCACATGAATGGTTTCAGGATGCTTTACTGTTGGCATGACGCAGGACTGATGGGAGTGCTCACCTGTTCTTCTCCGGACAAGCCTTTATCCAGATGCCCCAAACAATCGGAAAGAGGCTTTATGGGAGAATGTGACTTTGCTCCAGTCCTCAGCAGTCCATTCAGACTTTCTGCAGAAGATCCATCTGTCCCTGATGGTTTTGGAGAGAAGTGGCTTCTTTGCTACCCTTCTTGACACCAGGCCATCCTTCAAAAGTCTTCGCCTCACTGTGCGTGCAGATGTACTCACACCTGCCTGCTGCCATTCCCGAGCAAGCTCTGCACTGGTGGCAATCCGACCCCAGAGCTAAATCTTCTTTAGGAGACGATCCTGGTGTTGGCTGTCATTACTGGACGCCCTGAAGCCTTCTTGAAAAGAATGGAACCTCTTTAAATGAAATTCTTTGTGATATTATAAATTGCTGAGTTAGGTGCAATCTTAGTAGCCTCAATATCTTAGCCTGTGAAGCTATTTTTCTGCAACGCAATGATGGCTGCATGCGTTTCTTTGCAGGTCACCATGGTTAACAATGGAAGAACAATGATTCAGAGCATCAACCTCCGTTTAACTTGTCAAGTCTGTCATTCTAACCCAATCAGCCTGACTTGATGATATCCAGCCTTGTGCTTGTCAACATTGTCACCTGAGTGAACAAGACGATTACTGAAATGATCTCAGCAGCTCTAATGACAGCAATGAAGTGCAGTGGAATAATTTTTGAGAGATTAAGTTCATTTTGATGGCAAAGGAGGACTATGCAATTCATCTGATCACGCTTCATAGCATTCTGGAGTATATGCAAATTGCTATTATAAAAACTTAAGCAGCTACTTTTCCAGTGTTTATGTAATTATGAAAACTTTTTAGCTTAAATGTACACAAGATATTATTCTTCAACACATATTTGAATCTGCATTTCCTTTTTCAAAGGAAAACATGCGGCAAACTAGGAGATGGTGGTGTCTTGTTCTGCTGTTCCCCATGCCGTAAGTGCCTTCCATGATCACACTTTTTTTTTATCAGATATTAAAAAAAAAAACGTTTTGCTCAGTCAATTGTCAACAGAATAACATGAATGTTTTCATAGTGAATGAATGTTGTCATTGCATCACCAAGGTCTGAGGAAGACAGAGTGCAGGCACGAAAAAGATGGAGAGAGGAAAGAGTAAAACAGGTGAGCGACAATTTGATTAATTCTTGTAGTTTAACTGTTGCTTGCAGACTAAAGCATAGTTCCTTCACTTATTTCAGGGCCTGGAAGTGGTCCCTCCAAAAGAAGTCCTGCCATACTGAATTAGTCTGTGCAGCATCAGGTATTGTTCAAACAAGTATTATTGTACACAACCCCCAAGGTTGTCGAAATGGGATGTGGGAAGATTCAAGATTCAACCTTTTGTCATATGCACAGCTAGAAAAACACGCTTTCTGCACAATGAAATTCTTACTTTGCCAAGATTAGAAAATTAAGACCGTTCCAGACAGAGCACTTTTTTTTTCAAAGCAAGTTTTTCAGTCATTTCTCTATTTTCATTAAACCAGCATACTAAGCAACTGATCTTTTTTACAACTTGCATTGTTAATATGCTTTTTATGAACCACAGTCTTTTTCCTTTCTAGCAGAGGCTGAGAACTTGCCGGAACTGGACACAGGGAACAGAGTACGTTTTATATTGTCGGCTTTTCTTGTGTCATTGTTTCTTCTCCAACCTCTATTTTAATTAGAGGTGTCAAATAATTCCATTACTTGCAATGAATTTTTACAGCCATGATTAACGTGTTTTATATTTTAATTATGTTAATGATTTTTAATCTACTGCTTCTTTATGGGACTTTTAAATAAACCAATTTCTTTTCTTTTACGCTTCTTGCTGGTGTTCTTGAAGGGTTGATGTCATAAGTTGAAGGGTTGACGTTACAGTGACAAGACCGGTGAGAGATTAGCTGCAGCAGTGTTTATTTCAGCGACCTTGTTATCTTTACTCCGTTTTTTTCACCCTTCTTGCAACTTTTTCCAAAGTTATTGTTACCATTTGGATGTAATAGGTGTCACTGAGCATCAAGGCTGCTGACAGCTTCTCTCCTGTATCAGATGCACATCCGTGCTGCAGTTTGGAAAGACCACAGCATCAGCTGTTTGGTTAGCTGTTAGCATCGAAAATAAGGCTTATATTATGTACAGTTATTAGATGAAATTAAAAGATTAGATTACTTACAGATCATACATAATTAATGTAAAATATGTTTTTAATCTCTTGACAGCAGTAATTTTAATATTGTCTTTATTTTTGATTAGGAGAATTCTCTGCTTGAGGACACCTTTGAGGCAGCAAGGTGGTGTACCACAAGGTCCTTCAAAGGAAACATTTCCCTTCCCCAGGTCACCATGGACAGGGAAGCTTGCCGGAGGGCAGTGGAGAGGTTATGCTTCTGTGATGGCCTGGATTAAGAGGAGATGAACGACTGCAGGGAACCGTTCCTGTTCATGTTTAGTTTTCAGTCAGACTATGAGGAGTTCTGCAGAGAAATTGAGGAAAAAAGGAAGATGAAGGTGTTTTCTGGTTTTGAAATGCCATAGTACAGCGGTGTCACAGTTTTTGCATTATTTTTCCTCCTCACATTGTCTTTTGGAGGTTCTCTTGTTTTTTGTGTGCTTTTTGGTTCATTTGTTTGTACTTTTTTTTATTCCTGTGTTAGCTGTTTGCTCTATTAAATTTACCTTTTTTGAAAAATTTAGTCTGCATTCTTGGGTGTCTCACACAATGTCTCACCACCCCGCTTCAAACCCTGGCATGTTTTAAGAGGTATCAGCACAATTTAAGTCTCTGGTCCTCTTAATGTAGCTGATATAACTGAGTGTACAACAAATTTACCCGTGTCTGTCTGTACAGTTTTACACTCACTTGGGAAACGACTATTAAAATAAAGGCAGCATTGATAAAATCAACTATTAAAATTGTTTTGACAGGTTTAAAGAATAGTCTATCAAATGCCTGAACCTTTTATATAGGTACCAAAAGTATAGCTAAAAGACAAATACCTATGTGCTATAAATACACATACCATACAAAAGTAGAAAAAATAATAAAAATATCAGAACAGATTGGATCAAAATGGCGCCTGTAATTATCTGCTCTTAAAAATTATCATGACATTCAGCAAACAAGTCATTTGATTACCAATGTTATGCTTTACATGGGTTTTGTGGGTTTTTAGGGCTTTCTAATCCTTAGAAAGGGGCTACTCGCGGTTTCCTGGTTCCACTGAGAGAGGGGCAGGAGTCAAATAGTTGTCTCCACCCACCTCTAAACGTTTAACCCCGCCCACATTTAACCCCGCCCCGATCTCCGGGATGGCAGTTGGTTAGTTATGCAGTTCGGCGTTCAATGCCGCGTTCAATTACTAGAAAAAACGTCGTTTTTTACGGCGCTCTGAAAGACTACATGAAGATGGCGTGCAATACGGCGTTCTGAAGGGATTTCCGCCGCTTTTTTCGGCCTTTTAAGTTTAAAGACGGCGATTTAGACGCCGTTAAATAACCAAATGTGTTCAAAAGTGGGCGACTAGTGATCCGACCGGCTTGCCATACATAAGGCTTGCGATTGACACACGCTGACGACGCGGCTCCACGTGCTGCCGCAGCTTGGGCATATATATGCGCCCTCTTCTCTTGTCCTGTCCACCCACTACGACCATCGACAGGTAAGCCTCGTGCTCGCGCAGCTCCTCAATTAACTAATTATTACAACTTTTGTTAAACTCTCACAGTAAATGCTACATGTTTATCTACTTTTGATTTATGCTTTTGACTGTATGTTCTGCGCAATGACAATGCACGTGCGTTTTCTCTGAGTTTTTACTCCATCTCACCAGTGGCGGCTCCAGAAATGTTTTTCTGCAGGTGCTATGAAGGAGCTAGTCTTTTTATTGAGGGTGCTATGAAGGAAGTGGTCATGCGTACCTATTGTTCTCTAAAACACCTTCAACACTAGCAGATACACATGCGTGCACAAAACCTCAACAACACCTGAAATAATCATTAATATACATCATAAACATATGAACAATCACTGACTTTTCCATGAAATCATAAACACATACAGCCACACAGAAAACCATCTAAGTGTTGCAAGGTTAGCTAACGTAAGTGTTAGCATTTCCAGCGGCAAAACCCTCGACTGCTGCGACGGTTGAGGGTTGACTCTCTCATCCAGATCCGTAGGTTTTTGTGGGTCTGAGATCACTTCCAAAGATTCATTCGTTTCTGACTGAACCTGTGGAAATTTGGGCAACAAAAACCGATCCATTTTACCACTAGCTCTACCTTTCACTCGTTCGCAGGTGGAAAATGAGGTCAAAGGTTAACATCAATTTCCTGTTTGGTTTAAGTTTTTAAAGTAGTGGTAATGCCCCCCTCAGAGTCTTACTCCACCCACATTTCATATTTGAAAAATGTGGCCCAAAGAGGTGTTTCCTGTAAGACCGAGAAGGCGGAGCTACGACCGTGATTGACATTCTGAAATTTGAAGCCAGATGGCGACGGAGAGCGACACTAGCTCAGAGCAGTCATTCGAGGTGAAGGACTTTTCCCCACCTTCATCCCCAGAGGATAGGGAGGAGGGCTTTTTGGGGGAAGCAAGTGGTCCTGAACCGTATCTTTTTGAGCCACTAGCTCGTGAGTTGTCCGAGTCCCCTGGAGCCGAGCCAGCAGGAGTATCAAGGCATCGAATGGGTCCAGTCCCTGAGTGGTAAGTAGCTTTTTGCCACAGCTAAAGCTGTATTTAGCTTAGCTAAAAGTAATATTGTATGACTGCCTCAACAGGTGCACCTGCGGCCACTGCACATCATTGTCTGCCAGAGAAAATGTGTGCTGCAGAGAAATGCCCAAGGTATAAAAATTAAAAGTACCCCACCATGAGAAAAGCATTCTGTAATGTACACATTTGTTACACAATCACTAACATCATACTAATATTGAACTCTTATAGCCCTGATATCAGTTGTTCTTCGTCGTAGGTAATGCTCAGGTGTCAGTAGGTGGGTGTAACCTCCTGCATAACTGAGCGTCCTGTTGCAGGCAGTTTATGGCACCTTTCTGCAACTCTATGGGGAGATGCAGGAGACTATGCTCAACAGGTAAGACAACTGTCGAATTACTTTTTTTTATGAATACTTTATTTATAACTCATACCACCTCTTTCTCAGCTGTTACAGACATCTGGCGTACCGGAATGTGGTCAGGTGGTGTTGGGGTTACCTGGGACAGCACATTCGTGTTGTCATCCCGTCATGCGCTGTCTCCAGAATAAGGCAGGAGTTCCCAGAAGATGGTGCATACAAAGGATTCCTCCCTCCTCTGAACTAATATATTTTTTTGGATTAAATAAATGTCATATTATATATTTCCTGTATTGATTCCTGTCCATAAAAAGCTGCATAAATCACTAAACGGTAACTGCACTTCTTTACACTTTGACATTATTTATATATACACACATATAGCCACACACTTTCAAATGAGCTCTTACAACAGTAAGGTTCTAATTCGGGGTTAAATATTGCTGCTTTAACATGTGAATTTACACCCTGTGTGATTAATGAAGTCTATTCTAGAGCAGGTTCAATTAGGTAAAAATGAATGATAATTTAAAGAGCAAGTAACGTCTAAATTAACTTTTTTTTGCTGATGAACTGTATAAATGAGTGTCTAATAGTGTTTTAAATGTGTGTATTCATTATTTTAGCATTTTGGTGCATTTTCTTTAAAAATTTAAAATTCTGCCTAAAAACCACAGTAATGCGCCACCTTCAGCTTAAAACATAGAATTTGACTCATTTTGAATAAATTTTAGCCAATGGCTAAAGAGTAAGATACTACGTAAACCAGTTGAGTACTATGTAGCAGCTCTGTGTCAAAGTTATAAAGCAACAAGCGTCTCGGCCACGCCTTGTGGCGGCGAGTTGGGAGTTGGATTTGCAAGCGAGTGTAGGAGGTTAGCCGTAGTTCAGCATTAGCATATTGCATTAGCATATCCTAGTCTTTAGCATAGCCTTTAGTGTTATACATACTTATTTAGTGTTAGCTTGGCTGTTGGATAGTGTAGTTTAGTTAGTGTTTGGCTGTTAGTGTTATTAGGAAAGTAGTTCAGGTTTAGTGCTCCATATCGTGTTAGTATGGTGAGAAGGTGTAGTGTAGTATGCTTGCGGTGGCTCTGTGGGGTTGTACTCCTTTCCGCTGGACTTAGAAATTAGGCACCAGTGGATGCGTGTCTGGAAAAGATTCAGCTCCCGCCGGGTGCTGTAGTTTGCAACCAGCATTTTACCCGAGATTCTGCACGTCTCCGTTCCAAGAGGGAGGCTGTGCCCACCGTGGCTCTTCCGCGATTTAGATGCAGCCCACCGACTCTGCTCCCCCACCACGGCGGGCTCCAGTCTGAGGTGAGTAAGCTAAATAAGTTTTAACATCTTCTAAAGACAATTCCCTTCCTGAATGCAAAGTTTGAGAGACGTGGTTCACTCCATTTAGCTAATATCAGCCTGCACTGCCTTCGGGCTGATTTGTTAAGTTCACAAAATGTGGAACGGGATGTAAGGTTAGAATCAGCGGCGAATCGGAACATATCTCGAAGCCCTGGCTGACAAAACGGTCTACATGACTGTCAGGCTCAGAGAAAATTCGGGTTGCTTTTTAGTCGGCAATTCTTCAACAGTGACTCTGACACATCACTAGTTGACTGACATCATTACAGCGTGAAATCCAGCACAGCGTGACCCGGTTCCGAGAGGAATTCTGTTCAGGAGGTCGCATTTCAGGCTCTCCACATCATATGTGACTGACTTTTACGTTATAATAACGATCACACACTAGGACTGTTATAAAGCGCCTATATAGGAGTTTCTTTTGTATATTATCTGACTTTATAAACTCCCAACAACAATGTGCTTCTATTTTTTTCAGGCTAAATCTACTCAAGACACTGGCTGTCAGACTGATTTAGTAATCTGCAAGAATGCACTTGTCCAGCCTGACATGAAGCGTTACCCGTAGCAAAGGTGAATTATTTTTAATAATCTTCTATGTAAACATTTTATTACCTTCTAGTTTTAATTTGTTTTACAGATTGTTACACGTGATTTTATGCTCTTTTAAACGTTTATAAATGTGCTGCTTCTTTGTTTTTTATAGAGCTCACAGCCTCAGTGTCTTGTGACACAGGGGCCATGATGGAAATTCATCTTCCAGAAGGTCCCAGAGCATCCACACCCCCTGAAAAGACCAAGATGTGAGGTGTCTGCTCTTGATTCCAGCTTCCACCTCAGTGACAGTGCAAGCTCCGTGAACTGTTCAAGGTAAAAAAAAATTTAAACATTTCTGAATTTTTAAGATATTAACAATTAAATAAGTATGTGATTACATCATGACATCATGAAGGAGGCTACTGATTCTGGCCCTGTGACACTTGGTGGTGACGTGTGAGCTGATTCACCTGGTAAATAACTTTTACATTAAATATTTTGTTTTTGCTATCAAAAGTAAATTAACTAATAACCAGCATTATTGCAGGACACTCAGCAAAATATGGACTCTACACCATGAAGCAGGCACACGTTAATACTCTATAAGAGCACATAAGGTGAGCAACACCACATATTATTTTTATTACTGTACACTGTCCTGGATTTGTTTTCTTTCTGCATCTCATCATTAGCCTGGCTGATCACCTGATAACTCCTGTCATCTGGTTATGACAGCATGAGGATGTCCTCACACACCTGTAACCTATCAGCTCATCTGGCAGAATAGAGAGAGAAGAGACAACACCACATCTCCTGTTCCTGGAAAGCCTTCAGCCATCCTTCGATGACTGAGAACCTCCATCAGCTCTGTCTCCTGTCTGCCTACAATTATTATAATAAATATTGTGTTTGACAAGTTTTTTGTGCTGCCAAATATCTAATTTTGATTCCAGTTTTGATATTTTAATGGATATTTATAAATTACATTAATTGAGTTATCACATTGCATGTTTAACTAGCTCTATTGTGATGAATTAAACTAGCACCTCACTGTTAAAAGCTCGTTTTAATTTCAAGCATGTTTAAGTATTTATGGACATGAACAAAAACAGGAAATATATAAATTGAGATTTATTTAATTAATATAACGAATAAGGGGGAAAGAGTCATTGAAAGGCACATTCTTCTGGAAGCTCCTGATCCTGAAGACACGAGAGACCAGCTGCAGACACCAGAGGATCACCTGCAACCAAGAGCAGCTAGTATCAGTAAATAAATAATGAAATCAGGGCAGTTTTAGTGGGCTGAACACATTACAGAATAATTTTCTCATGGGGTATTTTCATAACTATGCAGCAGACTGTAGCTTGAGCCCAGAGCTCCTGGAGAGCTATCCAGCACGTTTCAGTGGATTTTCCTGCTTTAGCAGGTTAGATTAGCTGTAAAGCAGCTCAGCTATTTGTTGCTGATTAAAACCAGGTGTGTTGAAGCAGATAAACCTCTAAAACATGCTGAATACTAGCTCTAGGGCCGTGGAGACAAATCCTGCAGCTAATCTGATGCTATGGCTAACGGCTACTTACCATTCAGAGGTGGTTCTGTTGGGTCGGTTCCGGTAATTTCAGGCAACTCACAAGCTCAAAACAAGACTCAGGTCCGCTTGTCTCCTCCAAATAGACTTGGTCCCTTTCTTCTCGAGTGTCTGGGTAAGGAGGGGGAGAAACGTCCTCCACTTCTAATGACTGCTCAGAGTGAAGGGAGCTAGCATCGTCTAGTTAGCCATCGTCTTCGTCACTGCCGCGGCTCCGCCCTCTCGGTCCTCCAGGCAACGCCTACTAATGTTGTAGTCTTTAAAATTGATACGTGGGTGGAGAAGGACTCCGTGGGGGACATTACTACTTCTTTAATAAATGTGATATATGTATTTATACACATCAAAATATCAATTAAATTGTATTTAAAATGACACAATTGTGCTGCAAAGATAACATTTATTATAGCTACTACTAAGACAATGTTAGATTACAATCTGATCATAACTTTCATGATTTTTGACAAAACTCTAAACCACAAGCAGAGATTTTGGAGCCATGTGAGGAGAGGTTGGGCCAACAGTGATGTTTCTTTGGTTCCTTAGACTGGAGGTAGCTTTCACTGTGATGACAAACGTGGAGATGGATCCCAGAAGCACAGGTTTTTCTGTTACAAGATCAGGAGCCTCTGAGGAAAAAAGGAATATTAGTATGACTGTAGTATGACTTACAAAAGCACGACTGGTGAGTTTTGTTATGTTACATACGGCCAAGATTTTCAAGTTGTATGGGAGCCACAGAGCAGAAAGGTTGTAGAGATCAATAGACATCTGGGAGGTGGACAGCATGAGTCACGAGTGGATGAGCATAAAGATCCATAATGACGACAGGTAACTCCTATGTCGTACAGTGGTGAACTGCCTGGCTGAGGAGGAGGGAAGGAAAAACCACAGAGTAGAGTACTAACTAATAATTACAATCTCTTGTGTAGCTCACCTGACGTGCACTTTAAAACCTGGACCTGTGCCTGCTCACAGCATCCCGTTTATCTGGTCTTTGGAACTGGGCACAGAGAGGTTCTGGAACCGGAATTTTGTCCGAGTACTCCTGATATGGGAGAGGATCCACCACCACAGAGTCGAACAGTAGATCCATAAGCTTGTGCACATATACTGGAAAAGGGTTTTCAGTATTACAATAGTTCTCCATGACCATCATTATGGTTTTATCATACAATATATGACATACATGAGGTTGGATTGGTCTTCAGGGCTCTCACTGTGTAGTCTACACGTTTGTACTTTGGGTACACCACAGCATATCTCAGCTCACCAGTTGCTGTTGCTGCATGTGAGCGTGCTGCATTTTCATTGTAGTGCATTGCAGCAATTTGTGATCTGAAATAATCAAATAAACAACCTATATAGATTTTAGGCAAATTTCTACATTTCATGATCAAATTTAAACAATTAGAGGCATTAATTTGACCATTTGTTGTATTCATTACCTAGACAGCATTCCTTTGAAGGAGAAGACCTGACTTTTTGGAGTAAATCTGATGATGAGGCTGTGGAAAGCCTCCAAGGTGGATGTGTGGTACACATGGCTTATCTTCTCTACGTCCTTCACAAACCGTGGAGCTAACAGAATGGCAGTGAACTTCTCACATGATGCTGTGCCTACGTTGAAAATGTTCCAATCCAATCCAATTTTATTTATAAAGCGCATTCACAAGGTATTACAACCAAACAAGGCGCTGTACACTAAAAATGTTAGTTAATTAAACCGGCAATTTATGTTAATTACATAAATTACAATTTGATCAACTTTAGAATGTTGCTATTATTTCATTGAGAAAAAGTTAACCATACCTGACATTTTCAGAAGACAAATGTATGAAAGAGTGACTAACAGTGCTGTAGACAGGTGTGGTCATTACTTACGGCATCTTAGTACATATTATGTCAATTAAGGCTGTTCTGCCTAAACCATGAGTTGTGTGGTGCACTCTTGTGGTTAAATTTCTGCACAGCATTTTATTCTTAGTAATTAATTGCTGTTGGCCAAATGGTGGTGTGTGACCTCAGGTGTGTGCTCCAAAAATATTTCTCCATGTTGAATGAGGTGAAGACAAATATTCTGTTGTGGGGTGACATGTACTAAATGTAAATAAACCAAACAGTAAAGGCTCAGCTGTAATAAGTACATGCTACACTTACTTGGTTTGAGCCACTGTCTTGCCTGTTCTCCATCCAGAGGTGCATACAGACAGCTAGGGAACAGGGCGTTGTCATGGCTGTGCACATTTTGGATGTGGCTGGCAACTGAAGTCCACTTAGCTACTGCCTCCTCTCCTGAGGAGGAACTGGATGGGTATGTAAAAAACAAAGATGCAGCACATTTATAAATGTTTAAAAGAGCATAAAATCACGTGTAACAATAATCTGTAAAACAAATTAAAACTAGAAGGTCATAATAACATGTTTACATAGAAGATTATTAAAAATAATTCACCTTTGCTACGTCGGTAAGGCTTCACGTCAGCCTGGACAAGTGCATTTTTGCAGATTACTAAATCATCTGACAGCCAATGTCTTTAGCCTGAAAAAAAAAAAAGAAATAGAATCACAATGTTGTTAAAGTTTATAAAGTCAGATAATATACAAAAGAAACTGTCCGAAATATATATATATATATATATATATATATATATATATATATATATATATATATATATAGGCGCTTTATAACATTCCTAGTGTGTGATCGCCGGTATTATAACGTAAAAGTCAGTCACATATGATGTGGAGAGCCTGAAATGCGACCTCCTGTACAGAATTCCTTACAGAACCAGGTCACACTTTGGTGTAAAGCTGGATTTCACGCTGTAATGCTGTCTGTCAACTAGTGATGTGTTAGTTAGAGCCACTGTTGCAGAATTACCGACTGACTCAAAAACAACCCGAAATTTCTCTGAGCCTGACAGAAATAGTCATGTGGACCTTTTTTTCGGCCAGGGCTTCGAGATATGTTCAGATTCGCCGCTGATTCTAACCTTACATTCCGTTCCACATTTTGTGAACTTGACAAATCTGCCCGAAGGCAGCGGAGACTGATATTAGCTAAATGGAGTTAACCACATCTCTCAAACTTTGCATTTAGGTAGGGAATTTTCTTTAGAAGATGTTAAAATGTTTATTTGGCTTACTCACCTCAGACTGGAGCCCGCCATGGTGGGGGAGCAGAGTCGGTGGGCTGCATCTAAATCGCGGAAGAGCCACGGTGGGCACAGCCTCCCTCTTTAAACGGAGACGTGCAGAATAACCCAGTTAAAACTCCATCATGTTGGCGAAGGAATCGCGGGTAAAATGCTGGTTGCAGACTACAGCACCAGGCGGGAGCTGACTGTTATCCTGTACACCGATTGCGCGCAACCACTGGCGCCTAATTTCTAAGTCCAGTGGAAAGGAGTGCAACCCAACAGAGCCACCGTAACCATACTACACTACACCTTCTCACCATACTAACACGATATGGAGCACTAAACCCAAACTACTTTCCTAATTACACTAACAGCCAAACACTAACTAAAGTACAATATCTAACAGCCAAGCTAACACTAAATAACTATGCATAACACTAAAAGCTATGCTAAAGACTAGAATATGCTAATGCTATATGCTAATGCTGAACTACGGCTAACCTCCTACACTCGCTTGCAAATCCAACTCCCAACTCGCCACAAGGCGTGGCCGAGAGACTCTCGTTGCTTTTATAACTTTGACACAGAGCTGCTACGTATTTCTCGACTGGTTTACGTAGTATCTTACTCTTTAGCCATTGGCTAAAATTTATTCAAAATGACTCAAATTCTATGTTTTAAGCTGAAGGTGGAGCTATACTGTGGTTTTTAGGCAGAATTTTTAATTTTTAAATAAAATGCACCAAAATGCTAAAATAATGAATACACACATTTAAAACACTATTAGACACTCATTTATACAGTTCATCAGCAAAAAAAAGTTAATTTAGATGTTACTTGCTATTTAACTATGGTAATTTACTGATCATTTTTGTTTTGTATGTTAAATATTATCACATCCACACGTTAAATTAAAATTAAATTGTAAAAAAAAAATCTAATATTTACTTGGGGGTGCTATGGGGGTGCAATGACTAATCCAGGGGTAGCTATAGCGCCCCCCTGGCGCCGCCACTGCATTTCACACATCTTTACATGGTTAATAACACATTAATTCGGTTTGCTGTAGTTCTTGGCTGTATCGGTGACACCTTAACATGATCACACACGGATAATAACACATTTATTGTCCTTCCTGCTCATCTTTATTCCATCTATATATGTGGCAAGATGGCGCCAGCGTGTTCGGCAAGCCGTCTGCTGATCTACATTTTTTTTATTTTTTCGCTGTTCCTATGTTATGTGTTTAATGTTGGGACTGCTATCCTGAATTATGACCGTGCCAACCTCCTGGATCTTCGTTCGCCTTGGCTCCCTGGCCAGGATTATCACCACTACCATCGCGAGACCCTGCAAACGCTGTACTCCACTATTCCAGCCTCTCTGTGGAGAGTCCTCGGCCCGTTGTGGTTCAGAAAGCGGCGCGGTAAGCGTGGCGGCTGCCTGGTCCGTATGCGAGCTGAGCTGGCACGCTCCTCGGGGTTCATGCAGTCTCAAATGGGTGTGCCGGCTCGATGCCGCTCTGTGAGGTGTTACCTGGATTCTGTGGACTGGCAGCTCTTCTCCGCTCCCGGGCCGGCTCTGCCTTTGGCCTCT